CACGTGGCAGAACGGCAGGGTGAGAGGGGCAGAGGGGGTCAGGCCATCCAACCAACCCTCTGAGCTTCACTCTTCCCACAGACATTACACAGTCCTGCTCGGTGCTGGCAGGCCTGCTCGGCATGGCGGCAATGCTTTGTGGGACCCTCTTGATCCTGTACCTGTGGACGAGGTGCGGAAGACGGGCTGGACGCTCCCCAGGTAAGAGCAGGAGCACAGCACGTGGTGCACCTGGCCTGCTTGTGGAGCTGGCTGCACTCCTGGCTGGCATGGATGCACCCCAACCTGGGGCTGAGGATTGCACCCTCCATGCAGCACCCTGCTCCTTCATTTTGCAGACAAGCCACTTATAAACAAGACAGAGGACACCGGGACATCATCTGAGGCTTAGGCAGCCACGCTCCTGGTGTCGAAGGCAAGGCTCCCTCAGGACCCCCAGAAGACCCCGTTCTGTGGAGCCAGAAGAGCAGAGCAGTCGCTGCGATGGTCAGCAGAGAGGACCCCCTCTGGCAGAGCAGACACCCCTGCCCTGTGTGCCCCATAGCCTCCCGCTCACTGCGCTGAGCCTCTGTGGGCCCCGGTTCCTCCACACAGCACCGCAAAGTCCCTCAGTCTCCAAGCAAGGTCTTCTCAGAATAACACCTATTGGGTCCTCCGGGTAGGCTCCAGCACCCGAACCCCATCTGCACAGGCTCCTCTTATTCCCAGCCCTATAACTGCTATAATCCCTATTCACAGCCCTATAGCCCCCTATAATCCCTATAACCCCCTGCAGAGTCATCTGCAGCGGCACCCAGTGCTGTCACCGCATTCCCAACAGGATCACACCTTTTCCCCTAATCTCCCGTGGAAGTGAGGATTACTTCCTGATCCAGGAGCAAGCAAGCAGGGTGCTCTCCTGCACTGTACATGACCACCTTTGCAAAATGAGGAATGCACTTAAAAGCTCATCCAGAACAGGGTGAGAAGTCCCTCACCCATTGTATTTATTCAACCCACTTTGAATACCAGTAAAAACCCTGAAACCTGAAAGAACGAGAATGCAGCATTATACAGATTCAGCGATGTAGACTGACTTAGCGAGGTGGAAGTGGTGGAAGAATAGGCCCCTTGGTTATAGAGGGACTGTAGATGATCGGGTCAGATACAGGAGACTCAAGATTGCTAACGCTGGGTGAGGTATCATCCTGGCCACCAACAAAGAGGGGTCACGTTCTCAATGGAACAACCCATGGAGTCAGGTCTGAGTCCCAAACTGTCCACCACTTTGGTGAAGCCAGGAGGGGCCACGGTCAGAGGAATGTCCAGGTGCCACGGGGAGGGAACGAAGGGAACACAGGCTTGGCCAGGCTGTGATGAAGGTGTGTGTGCCTTGCGAGCCAAGCTGATCTCTGCACAAGGGCATGGAAGGGAAGTGTTGGTGCAAAAGGCGGAAGGGAGAAGAGATGTATTGAAAGAGTCTCAGTATGTATTTCAATGCCCTTCAGGTCTAGCCTCCCACCTCTCCTTCCCTCCCAGCCAGTGGCTGGCAGCTGTGACCAGTTTGCGTCTCGCTACTTGTCCTAAGCCCCAGCCACAGATGCCCTGGCCGGGTGTCTCCTGTCAACACATGGCCGCAAGGTCATCTTCTACTCCTCCACGGACATCCATCACTCCTGGGACTTCAGGGTTTCTCATCCTCCTGCTAGTAATGAAGCCTTCTCATCTTCCTGCTGGCTGTCCCTGCAGACCTGGTCCTCCAGCCTTGCCTGTCCCGAGGTTACATCAAAGGCCCAGGGCTCCGTCCAGCTCTGGGTAGAGTGTCCTCAGAATAGGGGAAAACAGGGGCTTGGACCGAGTTATATGCAATAAAATATGTGCACCGTTTGGAGAAGGTCTTTGTAGTAAAGTTGGGATGAGATGGGGCTCTTCATAGCTCCAACATGCAGGACCAGCACCTGCTAGATCCGAGCTCAGGCCATGGGCTACTCTGCAGAGATGCTCTGCAGGGACTGCAGTATCTCAAGAAGGGTTTTTTGCAGACTTCCCAGGGGGACACAACACCCAAATTCAGAAGGAGCAGACGGGATGTAGGACAATGACTCACTTCCAGAGCGGCTGTTTGTCCAAACTGTGAAAACAGCCCAGCAGAAACGCCCTTGCCCAGAGCTGCATCGGCCATGTCAGGCTACGACAGTTCACGGCATTTCCGTGCTGGTCAATGTCAGGAATCTCTTTGCTGCTGGCCTGTTTGTTTGCAAAGAAGGGGAACAAAGTCCTTGGGCTCACTTTTCTCAACTGCCCAGTGTTTTACGAGATGAGTTTTGACTTGTGTCCAGCCTAATTTTCACCCACTCACTTTGTTTAGTACACCTCTTTTTTCCTTTTCGTCTTCAGCCATAGCTCTGCATAGCTTTGGGGTTTGGGTTTCTCCTGTTTGATCTTCCCACAGGCAGCAATCGGCTCTCCACTCTACTACCCTCTCATGTTTTGCCAGGCTGAACATGTTAAACTCAGCCTGAGACCTTCCTGGCCATGCTGTCCTCTTCCCATTACATGCTCCAGATTTGCTTCTTATTTTTGCACAGACACGGGCAGAACCATCCACCCTGTTTCTGGCAGGGGTCACATCCTTGTCCAATGCAAGCCCCATCTTCCACGCACCACCAGCACAGCACCCACCCCTGTCTGAACCCTCCCATTCGGAGCAGTGATGTTAATTTGACAACCCTTTTGCAAAACTCATTTTTTCCCGCAACACGCTGCTCTGGCTGCAGGCCCTTTCCTTGCACAACTTCAGCGTGCTGCCATGAAGGGGTGGGAGGACAGCAAACTCTTCCATTCTCTCAGCATCTCAGGATATGCTTGGGGCAGCGATTTGCAAGGGACATGCCTGGAGCGTCAGCTGCATAACAGCAACTGGGAAGCAAACTGCTAATCCAAAAGGGACCCTTGGGGTCTTGCAAGTGCAGCCACAGTAGGATAAGAAAATGGCACTTCTCCTTGTTTTCCAAATCCAGCCAAGCCATTCAAACCATTGCAAGGTGGTGCAAGACCCTTTCTCATCACGGATGGTGTCCAGGCTCACCTGAGGACAAACAGCTACAGTGCAGGTGCTGGTTCCAGCCTCCAAAATAAAGCCATTTCCAGCCTTTAGTAACCTATTTTCTTGCAGTGGATGGTTCCTCACCCCCGAAAACCAAACCAGGCACTTTCAAATGAAGCTAATGTACCTATATTTCCCCAGTTCTGTGCATAAAGGCTTGATTTATCTTGTTGAAAGTAGATCAGCAGTCTTGGTCTTGTACCAGGATGCGTCAGGGCAGCCGAGGTGCCCGCAGGGGCTGGCACGTACGAGACGGGACCTGAGTGCCGAGAGGGTTGTTTGCTTCATGTTTTCCTGGAACAGCTTGCCGTTTCGCAAGCCTATGACAAGACTGGCTGCTGCGTGGGGCAGCAGGTCACCTCCTGGCAGAGCTTCACAGGAAGTGAAGCTCCTGGGGGGAGCAGGGAGGAGGAAGAGGAGGGCTCGCTGCAGAAATCCCAGTTTGTCCTCCCAGTTGGCCAGTGGAACACCAGGTTCAGCTGGCATCTCTCACAAGGACAGTCCACCCCCAGCCTCCAGCTCGTGGCCAGGCTGCGAACATGGGCACGCCGGGCAGTCTCCATCCCATCTCCAGCCGCGCCAGGGGGGGAAACCAACCCACCCACATAGGGGCCAAGAGCGCAGGGACCCTCCTCCTGATGGCATGCCTTTGCGGTGAGTGGCGTTCACCTTTGCTGCTGATTGCAAGGAGTCCATCGGCCATATCTGGTCCTCCAGCCTGCTCAGCTGACACCTCATGGAGCACAGCAGAGGCTGGTTGGGGGTCCTGGGTTTCTCTTGGGGGTTTGGGGCTGGGTGGAAAGTCTTGTGGTGGCTTTGGAAGAGGGTGAAAGGTTTTTTACGTGAAGTCGGGAGCTCAGCTATCTCTGCTACTCTCCAAAAGCCATGCATTGCAGGTCTACTTCCGCCCACATGGTTTTGCCCCATAATCAAAGGCTTGTGCCTCATAATTAAAGGCTTGTGAGCACTACAAGAGTGGAGGGAAGCATGCCCAGTCCTGAAGCTGTCTCTCAGCTGGCCACAGCATCCTGCCCTGCTTTAATCTTGGCTTGTCCCGGACTGTGCATGGCAAACTCATGGTATTGCAGCACGGAGGGGAGTTGGCTAAACCCAAAAGCACTTGCATTAAGAGGGCAGGTCCCCATACGATGGAGGGGTGAGCAAGCAGGAACCCACATTGCCAGAACAAGGCTGGGTGGCTCATGGCTGTGCAGCAGAAAGAACTGAATATTTGTTGGACTAACGGGGCAGACAGGCAAGCTGCTGGCAGGAGACACGACCCTTGTACGCAGGCAGAGCTGTAAGGAAGCTGCAGACCCTATAGGTCCCTTATCTGCAGCCATGGTTTGCTCTCAGACATTGGTGCAAGGATGGGGAAGAGCTCTGCTGCAAGATCAATATCATGCTGATGGTTCAACAGCAGCTTCACTTTGGAAATGGTTAAGAAAAGGCTCAGGGCTTTGCCCAAGCTGTCCCAGCTCAGAGCAGAAGTTGGTTATCTGATTTGGGCAGCTGCCTTAGTGCTGTTTCACATTTACAAAGGGCACAAGCAGAAACACTCATCTTCTGATCAGGTTTGGAGTGAGCAAAATTAGGAACACGCTTTCCCTGCTGGTAGGGATTTCGTTTTAATTTCCAGGATGATTAGTTGTTAATGCCATTTTGTACCACTGCCTCTTGGAACTTGAAATTTTGCTTTAACTCGCTTGGGTTTTCTCCTTCTTTGGTGATCTATTCACAAACAGTAGAATCTTTCCACTTCTTGTTTTTAAATCCTGCACCTGGAAATTTCAGTATGGCATTTGTCTTCGACAGTCAGTATCTCCAGTCAGTATCTCCTGGCTGGCTGGAGTCACCTGTGCTGGGACTTGTCAACCCAACCACAGTCGACGCACACACGACTGGGCAGCGCTTGCAAGAAACACGCCAAAAAATCTATCAGCTCTGCTAAGTCTCACCTGTGGGACTGATTTATTGCTTATAACGGGGTAGCCTCATCGCTCCCAGTAAAAATAAGGAAGGACAGCAAAAAGACACACTGGGAAAGGATGAAACAGAAGAGCCAGCCATCATCAGGACTGTGCTCTTAGCCTGGGGACAGCAGAGCTTGCAAACTGGAGACTGAGTGCCCACAAAACATCTGGTTCATCCTCCTCATAGAAGTGAATTTTGAGCGGTGGCTTTGCAAAGGGGCTTTACAGAAAAGTCACTTTATTGCAAAGACACTTTATTGCAAAGACACTTTTCCACTCCCCGAATGAAAGAGCATACACGCCTGCATGCAGCATGCCACAGCTGCCCAGACGCTGTCCATATTTGAATGACTCAGGGATTTGATTTTCAACCTGTTTCGTCCTCTTTCTGGCCCCCATGACTTCCCAAGTGCTACGTCCGGCCCCTCGCTTGCTGATGGTCAGACCCATGCACAGATCAGTGCTTGAGCACTTTGGAAATCATTATCCATGGTCAAAAAGCTTATTTACACAATGCAATCATATCCCTCTTGAACTTCTTTTTCTGCTGACCCAGTTGAGCTCTCCACGTGACTAACTTCCAGTTACTGCTCCTTTCTGCACAGTCTCCCTTCGGTTAGTGCTCTTGCAAACCGTGCCTACGGGACCAGCGGCAATCTCATGCTGTGGGTTTTGCACATTGCCAGTACCCTTAGTTCAAGCACTGTTCCACTTGTCCCTGCAAGCTCGCGGCTCAGCCGGACCCCAAGGCATTACCCACTCTTGATGGTGAAGCTATATCTTTGTTGATGGCTGCTTGTACAAAAAAATGCATAAGCTCAAATACCCATTTCTTCTGCCTATTACATAAGCAAGAAAAGGGCTCCTGGGGTGTGGGATCCCCACCGAGGTTAGATGAGGTTAGACTCAGGCATTTAGATACAGAGATGGGGCTCAGTTGCCTACAAACAGATGCCCAGTGCCATCTGAGATGCCCAGGGCAGGTGTGGGATGGTCAGTGCCTCCTCTGCAACCCTTTTTGGGGAGCAGGAGCCATCTCAAATGTGCAAGCAGCTGAGTCCCATTCACCCGCAGGATTTCAACTCCCCTCCTCTTTCCCCTCCCGGCTTTGCAGGTGCAGCTGCTGAGAGCCCAGGGGGGCTCCTTCGCCTGGTGGGCGGCCCCGGCAGCTGCGCCGGGCGGGTGGAGGTGCTCCACAATGGGACGTGGGGGACAGTGTGCGACGACGGCTGGGGTCCCCCCGAGGGCCGGGTCGTGTGCCGGCAGCTGGGCTGCGGGACATTGCTGTCGGTGGCACAAGGAGCTCGGTATGGAGAAGGGATGGGACAGATCTGGCTGGACGAGGTCAACTGCACCGGGGAAGAAAGGGACCTCTCCGAATGCCAAGCCAGGCCATGGGGGGAACACAACTGTCACCACGTGGAGGATGCCAGTGTTGAGTGCTCAGGTAGCCCGGGATGGCAGCGATCCAGCTGTGCACCACCTTCACCCCTGCATCCCTTCCTGCTGTACCGGCAGTGATGCACAACCGTTCTCCAACTGTTCCCTTTGGGACACCCACAGACTCCAGCATCACCGCCCTGGGCACCCTCCAGCTGCTCAACGGCCCCAGACACTGCACCGGGAGGGTGGAGGTGCTCCACAACCACATGTGGGGGACTGTCTGCGATGACGGCTGGGACCCGGGGGCTATGGGGTATGCGGCAGTGGTGTGCCGTCAGCTGGGCTGCGGCACGGCGCTGTTGGCCACCAGCGGGTCTCGCTTTGGCAGGGGCCATGGTCCCATCTGGTTGGACGAGGTGAACTGCACTGGCACCGAGAACACCCTCTTTGACTGCCAGACCAGAGCGTGGGGGGACAACGACTGCTTCCATGGGGAGGATGCTGGAGTGATATGTTCAGGTAACTCAACTTGAGGTGCAAGAGGGGTCAACATCAGACTGTCAGGGTTTCCTAAGGGATCGAGGGATGGTTCCTGCATCCCCCGCCAAGGGCGCTTGTCTGTGGCATCCCCTTTGCAGCGCTGGAGAGCACCTGCAGCATGCAGGTGGGCAAGTTGCCATGCAAAGGCTTCACCCACCTCCTGTTGCCGTGATTCCAGCGCTAAGCTGCAGGAACAGCAAAAGGCCATTTGTTTGCAGTTGCATGCATGAATTACCAAGGACCTACCCCAAAGCCTGGTTTGCCTTGGGGGCAACTAAGCTGTACCACGCAGAGTGTTCTGCAGGCATAACTCACCATCCCCGGTTCCTGCCCATCCAACCAGGCCAGGTCTCTCTCACCCACCACCCACCACCATCCAGGGATTCTGATGGTTTTTTTGATGCATGTGTAGCTCAGCTCTTCTACTTGGGCTGTGCAGCAGGGAGCAGGAAAGTGCCTTGGCAATAAAGTGTCTTTGCAATAAAGTCCTGCACCTGGGTCAGGGCAACCCCTGGTATCAGCACAGGCTGGGGGATGAAGGGATGGAGAGCAGCCCTGTGGAGAAGGACTTGGGGGTACTGGTGGATGAAAAGCTGGACATGAGCTGACGCTGTTTGCTCACAGCCCAGAAAGCCAACTGAATCCTGGGTTGCATTGAAATAAGCGTGGCCAGCAGGAGCAGGGAGGTGATTCTGCCCCTCTGCTCTGGTGAGACAGCTGGAGTACTGTGTCCAGCTCTGGGATCCCCAGTACTGGAAAGACATGGAGCTGTTGGAGCAGGTCCAGAGGAGGGCCACAAAAATGATGCGAGGGCTGGAGCCCCTCTCCTATGAGGCCAGGCTGAGAGAGTTGGGGTTGTTCAGCCTGGAGAAGAGAAGGCTGCGGGGAGATCTTCTTGCAGACTTTCAATACTTGAAGGGGGCCTATAGGAAAGATGGGGAGAGACTTTTTAGTGGGGCCTGCTGTGATAGAACAAGGGGTAATGGTTTTAAACTATAAGAGGGGAGATTCAGACTAGATATAAGAACTTTTTTATGATGAGGGTGGTGAAACACTGGCACAGGTTGCCCAGAGAGGTGGTAGAGGCCCCATCCCTGGAAACATTCAAGGTCAGGTTGGACGGGGCTCTGAGCACCCTGATCTGGTTGAAGATGTCCCTGCTCATTGCAGGGGCGGTTGGACTAGACGACCTTTGAACGTCTCTTCCAACCCAAATTATTCTATGATTGTCTGATAAGGTGACTTTGCGATAAGGTGTCTTTGCAATAAGTGACTTTGCAATAAAATGTCTTTGCAATAAAGCCCCTTTGCAAAGCCACCCCTCAAAATTCACTTTTAAGAGGATGCTGAGCACTGTGGGCACTCAGTCTCCAGTGTGGGCACTCACCGTGCACGGAGGGTGCTCAGGCTGGACCAGAAGCAGACATGGCTCTCGCGGTGCACTTACCCTTGCGTGTTGTTGGCAGCTTCGGGGATGTCCGTGGCTGCAGAGCTCCGCCTGGCCAACGGTTCGACGCACTGCGAAGGCAGGGTGGAGGTGACTCACAACGGCACCTGGGCAGCCCTGTGTGATGAGGGCTGGGGTCTGGCCGAGGCTCAAGTGGTGTGCAGGCAGCTGGGCTGCGGGAGAGCGCTGTCGGCACCCGGTGGGTCACATTTTGGGCAAGGACCCAGGCAAATGTGGCCTGACAGCGTGAGCTGCATAGGCACGGAGACTGCCCTCTCTGAGTGCAAGGTGAAGCCCCGGGGCAACGGCACTTGTCACCATGGGAAAGAAGCTGGTGTGGTGTGTGCAGGTAACCCGCAGGAGTGACGCGGCACGAGAAGTGGGGAGTCTTGGTCCATCACCTTCATTTTCCACCTCTGCAAGCAGCCCCAGACAATGTCCCTTCTTCGTGGGCGTTTCCGTCATGGGATGTCGTGGGGTGTCTGGGGGGCTGGAGACATTTTGGGTGTCCTGCTGGACAGGTCGGTGACGATGCCAGTGGGTGGGATGCTGCCACGGTGCAGCTTGTAGCCTTTTTCACCAGGGAGTGGGGATCAGCCAGCTCCTTTTTGCAGTGATTAGACGAGCCTGCAGCACTTGGTGCAATGCCTAGCAACCTGAGAAGATGCCAGGGCAGTTTTCCTTACCCGGGGGTCGCAGCGTGCCGGCCCTTCCCCTTATTTCCCTCTTTTAGGTAATTCAGAGGGTGACCAGGTCCGGCTGGTGAACTATGGCAGCCGCTGCGCTGGCAGGGTCGAGGTCTTCCATAACACACAGTGGGGGACCGTGTGCGATGACAACTGGGACCTGCGGGACGCTGAGGTTGTCTGCCGGCAGCTGAACTGCGGGCGAGCGCTGTCGGCCCCCGGGGCGGGTCAGTTTGGGCGCGGGGATGGCATCATCTGGATGGACGAGACGAACTGCACGGGGTCGGAGAGCACGCTGTCCGCCTGCCAGGCCCGGCCATGGGGCATAAATAATTGCTACCACGGGGAAGATGCTGGTGTGGTTTGCTCAGGTGACCAATGCTCCTTCGGCATTTGCTCCATGCAAGGTGGTGGGAGTGGGTGTGTGTCATGACGGTGGGTCTGCACCCCCAGGTAAGACTGGGGGTCAACTTCAGCAGCCAGTGGCATTTTCACTGACCCTCCCTGCACCTGATGGTCCCATCGGAGGGCTGCTCTTCCCATCCCACGGT